GTAGTTGATTGTAGTGCTTTCCGTTTCGTTTGTAGTAGAACCGTTCAAAAGTTATGAACATTAAAAAATTGCAAAAATCTGACTGCCAATTTTTAAGATATTCGAAATCCACTTGCGCAGTCTTCCTCAGAATCGTTTGTAGTTGATTGTAGTGCTTTCCGTTTCGTTTGTAGTAAAACCGTTCAAAAGTTATGAACATTTAAACAAAGTGCAAAAACCTAACTTTGTCAATTTTTAAGATATTCGAAATCAATTTGCGCAGTCTTCCTTAGAATCGTTTGTAGTTAATTGTAGTAAATTTCTTTTCGTTTGTAGTCGAACGGTTCAAAAGTTATAGCATTTTACAATATTGCAAAATCGGTAACTTGGACTCCTGACGAGGTGCATCAAATCCGCTTGCGGGATTCTGTAGTTGATTGTAGTAAATTTCTTTTCGTTTGTAGTCGAACGGTTCAAAAGTTACAGCACTTTACAACATTGGAAAATCGTCAGCAGCGAGAAATGACACACTAAAAACCCAGCTAACAGACACACGTCAAAATGACGTCAAAATTTGGTCAGAGAATGACCAAAAATGACCAATATAATGACGTTAAAATAACGGGAAAATGACATATTGATGTCTCGGACCGATGACGACATTTTAAGACGTTAAAAAGACATGACTTTATGACTATTTTGGTTCTTCCAATGATGTTTTCACGACGTTTTAATAACGTTTTAATGACTTTCAATAACGTTTTAATGACGTTTTAATGACGCACAGGATTATAAAAATAAAAACCAAAATTACATACAAAAGTAAGTATGGAATATATTTATTTTTTAAAATACATTGTATATTTTTATAATTTAATTTTTACATAATTAATTAAACTTTGTTTAGTTAATTAATCAAACTATGAATTATCGGGAACGACACAAAAGAATTATTATTATCTACAGGATAAACAATGCATTTGCTAAAAAAAATGATTAACTGACCAAAGTTTAAGTCTTGACAAAGTTTTAATAACAAAAAATTTTAATTCGGATGATTTACATGGATAAGAATACAAATCTGAATATTTAAAAAATTGTTTTTCAATAATATAAATTTGACCTTTTGCTGTAATGACTATATTATGTATTTGAACTACTACGTTTCCATCTGCAAAACTACAGAATCGGTATCCATCTGCAAAAGTAAGAATCAGAATGTGAATGAACTGTTAAAGTTATAGACAGATAGAGTTTATTGCTTATCCCTTTCGGGCTTTACAAGGCGCTGTTTCAGGGAGCGTATCCTTTCTATCCTTCCCTTCCCTCCTATCCCCTCTTGTTTCTCTTCTCCTCTCTCCTTCCTCCTCCGCCTTCCTCTCCTCTCCCTCCCGCCTCTTCTGTATCCTCTGTCTTCTTTCTCCCCCTCCATGTGCCTCTCCAGTCTCTTCCTCTCCCCTTCTCTTCACTCTCCTCTGCCTACTCCTCCTTCTCTTCGCTGCTCTTCCTCCTCTCCGTCTCTCTCCCTCTCCTCCGTCTCTCCTCCGCCTCCACCTCTTCCTTCCCTCCTCTCTCCTCTTCCTCTCCACTCCTGTCGTCTCCTCTCTCCGTCTCGATCTCCGCTGTGCCTTTCCTCCTTTCCTCCTTCGCCTCTTCTTCCTCCTGTTCCCTCACTCTCCTCTCTCTTCTTCTCCTTCCTCTCCTCTTCCTCCCTTGCTCCTTATCCCCCTCTCTCTCTCCTCCTTTTCTTCCGCTTTTTCCGTTCCTCCGTCTCCTCTTTGTCCGTTCCTTTCGCTTCTTCCGCTTCTCACCTCTCGTTCTTACAGCCCTCTCCACTCCTGTCATTCGTTTTCCAGCGCCCTGCTTCTATTTCCTCTTGCTGCCAATTCGATCTCTCGATTTCTTCCTCCAATCGCCTTCGCTTCCGTCCATCGATCTCTCGTCTTGCTATTGTCGCTCCCCTCCTCCGCTTCCTTCGATCTCTCGATCCTCCCGTCCAATCTTCTTTACTCTCTGTATCGATTCTCACTCATCCGCTCTCCCCTCTCACCGCAGCTCTCCTTGCTCCAGACTGCCGACTCATGCCAGCTCATCTTTTTTCCACTCCCGTTTCTCCTCCACTTATCACTATTTCTTCCCACCTCCATGTCCACCGATTCTCCTCCAGCTCCTCTTTTCATCACTTCTTCCCCTTTCTGTTTGAAGGATATCGGGATCGAGGTAATCATTATTAGCCAATATGCCGGATATCTTCTATAACTGACAATATTTATTTGACGTGAATTGCTCACTTATGAACGGAGAATAAATCTCGAAAGAGTACCGTACGTCTGCCACGTACGAACGTCCGATTTTACTCTGCCCCCTCGGCCCGCAGTTCCTAACGGAACGTCCCAATATAGAGGGAGTCCCGCACGTATGCGTACGCACGATACATCACCACATTCCTCCCCACTAAGACTGGAACTCGTCAAAACCATAGCGCCTGGGAGGCACGCCGAAATTCGAACGTGTAGAGTGTCGGCGGGTGTCAGGAATCTGTTGAATCTCCTCCTCATTTGGATTCCCTTCTTCGTCATTCTTCAAGGCATCCTCAAAGACATCTGAATTGTCGGTACTTCCCTCAAATGTTTCTGGGTCATCTCGATTTTCTGGTTTTTGATTGATGTCATCTTGGGATTGTTCTATGGTGTTTTGTTCCGGCGCAACTTCCTTGCTTGTGTCGCCGGCGTCGAGAAATTGGGGAGTATCTAACCATGCGCCCTTATTGTGGCGCAGCTTAAGCTGATTTGAGTGTGCTTTGATAACTCGGCCTGATTCGGTTTGAATTTGATAGTTGACAGTGCCGCACTTTTTGATCACTGTCGCTGGAACCCATTCCCATGAATCGTTTGAGCGATGGAGTTGATAGTAGACGCCGTCGCCTTCTACAAACTCCTTCCATTTTGCACCGTGGTGACCGTTGAATTGTTGCGCCAGTTTGGAGTCGGCCAGTCCCTGGTACGGGCCGGAAGGGTTCAGCAGATCGAGTCTCGTCTTCATTGTGCAGCCGTTAAGGACCTCGGCTGGTGTTTTCATGCCGAGGCCGTACGATGGGGTCGAACGATAGCAGGAGAGGAACTCGAGTAGCTTTTGGTCGATGTTTCCTTTGGCCTTCTTCAGTCCGGTCTTGAGCAAGTCGACAAATTTCTCAGCTTGCCCATTCGATTGCGGGTGGTAAGGAGCGGTTCGAATGTGCTCTACCCCCAATGATTTGCAGAACCTCTCAAACTCCATTGAAGCAAACTGAGGGCCATTATCCGATACAATAGTGTCGCAATGGCCATGTTGAGCGAAAGCTTGCAGGATCAGCTCGATGGTTCGGGAAGTCGTCGTTACATTGGTTCTAAAAACCTCCGGCCACTTGCTGTAAGCATCGACCATGATCAGAAAGTAGTTTCCATTCATGGGACCGGCGTAATCGATGAGGATGCGAGACCACGGCCCACTTGGGACTGACCATGGCTGCAAGGAACACTTGATTGGTGTCTTTCCGGCTTTTGCACAATCTTCGCAGTTCTTCACGGTTCGTTCTATGTCTTTATCGATCAGAGGCCACAATACCTTGCTACGTGCAAGTAACTTCATGCGCACTATTCCGGGATGCCCACGATGAAGTTCCTCGAGTATTTTTTAGCGGAACTGAGCCGGAATAACGATCCGGTCCCCGAAGAAGATGCAGCCATCGATGAGAATAAGAGCCTCCCGTTGGTCAAAAAATTTTGAAACTTCCAGGTCCGTGATGAACTTCCGCGATTTGGGCCATCCATTCATGACATAGCCGGTGACCTTACCGAGAACTTTGCAATTTCCCGTGGCCTTTTGGATGTCCCTGAATTTCACTGGTAGCATGCCGGCAGTCTCGACAGCGAAACACTGCGATTCACGCCGAAGCTCGTTCTCAACGGTGGCGATCACGACATTTTCGTTGGTTCTTTCGTGTCTTGAAATGAGGCGAGAAATCATGTCAGCATAGTCAAAGCTTCCGGTGTTTACGTACTTCACATCAAAGTCGTAGGCAAGCAGAGTTAAAGCGTGTCGTTGCAACCGACTAGCAGGGATGACGGGAATTCCCTTTTTGGAGCCGAAAATTGTGAGAAGCGGCTTGTGATCCGTGTGCAGTTCGAACTTGCGACCGAAAAGGTACTTGTGGCATCGCTTGACGGTAAACACCAAAGCCTCCGCTTCCTTTTCGATCTGGGAATAATTCTTCTGTGCGACGTTGAAGGCTTTTGAAACGTGGATGATGGGATGAAGCGAGCGGTCAGGAAACTCGTGCATGATGACTCCGCCCATGCCGTAGGAGGATGCGTCGGCTGCGACAACTATTTTCCTCGACGGATCGTAGTGAGTGAGCACGAGCTCTGAAGCCATGATTCTCGTCAGTTTGACGAAAGCTTCCTCCTGCTTCTCCCCCCAGATAAACTTCGTTCCTTCGAGAGTGAGTTCAATTAATGGTCCCCGTAAATCCATCATGTTCCTGATAAATTTGCCGTAATAATTAACGGCTCCAAGGAAGGCTCGGAGCTGACGGACGTCTTCCGGGCGTGGAATACTTGCAATCTCCTGTGTCTTGTCGGGATTAGGACGAATACCTTCCTTATCGAGCGTGTGGCCGCAGAATGGAATGTGCGACTTACCGAACTGGCATTTTTCAACGCGTAGTTTAAATCCATATTCTTGAATGCGTGCGAGGACCTCGAACAACACTCGGCGATGCTCAATTTCATTCTTGCCATCTAGAATGATGTCGTCGATGAATGCAAACGCTCCCTTGATTCCATTGAGCATCCTGGTCATCAATTCTTGAAATATTCCCGGCGCAGTTTTAACACCCGGCTGCAAACGATTCACGTTGAAAAGGCCCAGGTGGGTGTTGATCGTGAGAAGCTTCCTAGCATCGTCATCAAGGGGAACCTGTAAGAAGGCGTCTGACAGATCAATGACTGTGAAGATTTCGCAACCCGACAGACCCGCAAAAATCTGATCAGGTGTCGGAAGAGAAAATTTGTTGGGCTCAAGGGCGTCATTGAGGCCCGTTGAATAGTCGCCACAGAGGCGAATCTTGCCGTTTTTCTTTTTAACAACGACGATTGGAGCTGCAAACTTGGAGTGCTCGGTGGGACTGTAGATTCCCTCGTGCACGCCACGCATCATTTCTTCCTCAATAGGTTGCAGTGCGGCGAACGGGGAAGGGCGGGCCCTAATGAACACCGGTTTCGCATTTCCAACTAAGGTCATCGAGGCCTTCGTCTTTGTGCACATGCCGAGTCCGTCTGAGAAAAGATTAGGAAACCTGGACATGACCTTTTTGTTATGTTGTCTTGTTGAACATCCGTTTTGATATTATTGCAGATCGTTGAGAGTGGAACATCCCAGAGACCCAGTGACGTCATCCAGTCAATGCCTTAGAGATTTAGACGAGCTGTAACGAAGCAGTTCCCGGTACTTTCTTTGCCATTGAAGCTCATATGGCACGGAAACGATCCCCAGACGTTGATGTCCCGAAGCACTACCGGGTGTAACATCTGGGCCAGAGAGAGACGGCTTGCCAATTTTCTTCCAATTCTCGGTAGAGATGATTGTGATGTCGGAAGCGGAATCCAACTGAAGTCTCACCCTGCTTCCGTTGATTCGTGGAGTGATAAACTTACGATTTGATGGATTCGCAATCTGCTTGCTAGCAATCTTATTGACTTCCGACTCGTGTTTTTGTAATTTACGGCGGAGATTCTCGGTTTCACATCGCAATGCGTCAGCTGCAGACTTGCAAAATCCGGACTTATGACCCGTGGCTAGACAAGACAAACACTGCTTATCCTTGAAGCTGCAGTCGCAATCCCAGTGGTCACCACCACAGAACTTGCATGGGCGGCTTGCCTTCCTGCTAGACACTCTGTTTAATGAAGATGAGCCAGCTGAAGGTGGATTTTGCTTTTTCTTGTTGCCTCTTCGAGAATTTTGAATTGCGTTGACTTCGGTGATGTTGGACGATGCCTCGCAGACTTCCAGTTTGTCCTTCTTAAGTGTGATGATGTTTTGGGTCTCATTGATGAGATCAGACACTGTTAGCTTGGCAATTGCTGCTCTTGCGGCTTCATCAGCTGCCGATTCGAGCTTGCGCTGTTACTCGTTTACTTTGTTGAGTAATTTTTCGAGAATCAGACCATGTCTTGGATCCTTGAGTCCGCTGATAAAAAGCAGGTTTTTTAGGTCGTCAGCGGAGAAGTTAGCAACGCCGAATTTTTCGCCTAATTTGTTGATTCTCGCGCCGTACTCGCCATACGTCGCCGAATCTTCCATGCGAATGTCGAAACACTTAAAGCGCATCGAAAACTTGGTCTCACTGTATCCGAACATCGATTTGAGCAATTTTGCTGCCTCCTGTAAGGTAAGATCGGTCGGAACACGAGGAAGGACTGAATCGGCGAAACGTTGGTAGTCTGAACGGGTGAATTTCCTCATCAGAAGACGAATCTTCTCAGGCTCTGTCCAGCCTTCGATCTCGGTGGTGAAAATCGTCTCGTATCTTTTGTACCAAGACTCGAAGGTTGCGTTGTCATTAGGATCATACGCGAAGGGTTCTATCGAGTCTGCCAAATTTTTGGCTTTAACATCGCGGGCGGATTCACCGTTGCCGCTTGCCGCATTTGGGACTTGAAGATTCTGCCGTTCGAGTAGTTGCTGGATCACAGCCTGCTGCTGTTGCAAGCTTGAATTTTGTTGTGCAACCTGCGTCTGCAGGTTCACAAGCTGTTGAAGCAGATCGTTAGTACTCACGCTCGGGAGAGGCTCAATGCGCACAGTACAATTGGACACGATGCAATTGCACACAGTGCTATTGGACACATAATGTTGCGCACAGTTCTTTTGCGCACCGTTCATTTGGACACAGTTCTTTTGCGCACCGTACAATTGGACACCGTTGCTTTTGGACACAGGTTATCGAAATATAATTTAAAACACACAGACACACGCGTATGCATGTAGGGCCCTGTTTGGAAATTTTGCTAATTTATATATAATAAATCTTTCTAAATCAGCGTTTGTTCAATTGGACAGTTTAGTGTCGCACAGTTCAGTGTCGCACAGTTCAGTGCCGCACAGTTCATTGCCGCACAGTTCAGTGCCGCACAGTTCAGTGCCGCACAGTTCAGTGTCGCACAGTTCAGTGTCGCACAGTTCAGTTTCGCACATTTCACTATCGCACAATTCAGTGTAGATCCACACAAGAATATTCTGCTTTTCAAAATAGTTGATTTCACTTAATTTGTTTTTCTAATTCTTGATTACTTCACCTTGTATCTGTTACATGTGCAATGACACTGAACTATGCGAAACTGAACTGTGCGAAAGTGAACTGTGCGAAAGTGAACTGTGCGAAAGTGAACTGTGCGAAACTGACATGTGCGAAACTGACATGTGCGAAACTGAACTGTGCGACACTGAACTGTGCGACACTGAACTGTCCAATTGAACAAACGCTGATTTAGAAAGATTTATTATATATAAATTAGCAAAATTTCCAAACAGGGCCCTACATGCATACGCGTGTGTCTGTGTGTTTTAAATTATATTTCGATAACCTGTGTCCAAAAGCAACAGTGTCCAATTGTACGGTGCGCAAAAGAACTGTGTCCAAATGAACGGTGCGCAAAAGAACTGTGCGCAAAAGAACTGTGCGCAACATTATGTGTCCAATAGCACTGTGTGCAATTGCATCGTGTCCAATTGTACTGTGCGCAATTGAAGGCTTCTCCTCACGCTCATGATAACTTCCACCTGAGGATTGAAGTTATATGGGTTGTCAATTATCCTCGTCGCCACTGAAGGATATCGGGATCGAGGTAATCAATATTAGCCAATACGCCGGATATCTTCTATAACTGACAATATTTATTTGACATGAATTGCTCACTTATGAACGGAGAATAAATCTCGAAAGAGTACCGTACGTCTGCCACGTACGAACGTCCGATTTTACTCTGCCCCCTCAGCCCGCAGTTCCTAACGGAGCGTCCCAATATAGAGGGAGTCCCGCACGTATGCGTATGCACGATACATCACCACACTGTTCACTCCACTCCAATCCTTCCTTTCACTCCCTTTCTCACTTCACTCTCGCACCGTACCTCTTTCCTCCTCGCCATCTTTACCCCCTCCTCAACTGTTAAAGTTACAACTGTTAAAGTAAACTTTTTAAAATTGTTTCTTCCAATTATGAACATTTGAGTATATCAATGGACCTAATGCATGTTCATATTCTAATTTTTCTATATTATTTCTGGTTAACTTAATAATAGATAATTGTATTTCGCGCCTCTTCCGAAAGATAACATGTAGTACTCCTCAATTCCCTGCCGAGGCGCCACAAGTTCAAAGCCAAAAACTAAAGTTGTCTACCATATTGGCTCCTTGCCTTTGCACGTCATTCTTTTTTCTTGTGCCGAGGTCATCACATCGTCCAGATTTTCTAAAATCTCCAGATGGGAAAAAGAAAGCATAAACATTCGGAATCGAATAATGATACAAATCAACCGGTGTAAAGAAAACACAATTGAGTAACAAAAAATTTTTTTTAATAATTGTGTTTTTTTTACACCGGTTGATTTGTCTCATTATTCTGTTCAAAAAAGTATTAAGGTAAGATGATAAAAAATGAATATTTTACAAGAAATTTTGTAATTTAAGTCAAAATATTGGAACTTTCAAACCTTAATAACTCAAGAAGTTCTCAATAAAAAGATACTTTATTATAGCGTTTTGGAAAGCTCTCGAGGTCAGCTACAATAATATGTAATAAAAAATAGGGGATGCCATTTAAAAAAAATTGGTATGACCTTTATGTGACCTTCAAATAATTCTTCAAGGTCAAAGCAATGGTACCATCTAATGGCCCCCTCGAAACCAAACAACTTTTGTCTGAAACATTTTTGTCTGCTAGGCTCAGTTTTCGAGATATTTGGTTGATCGGGTGGTCTGGGACACCCTGTATATTTATCACATTGAAATTAAAACTTATGTTTAATCCAAAATTAAAAATAAAACTATAAATAAAAATATTAATTTTTTAAGTTTTAAACTATATAAAAATTTCAATTGAATTTGTAACTAAAAGATAGTAATAATATAAATAGTAAAAATAGTATTTATGTAGATATTTTTATAAGAAGTTACTTTTGCAATACAACTATTTTTATAATGGTCTGTAACAACTATTAACGTTTTTATATTTTCAATTACATCTTACAAATGTTAACTTATAAAAATAACTAAAAAAAACACGATATTATGACGTTTTTGTACAACGCCATTAAGACGTCACAAAAAAAACGTTTTATACAGGGTGTGTCCTAATACCTGTATGTTCCGTAGATGGTAGATAGACCGGGGCAAACTGAATAGAAAAGTCCTATACCATGTTGCAAAATTCGCAATAGTTATCGAGAAATTAATTTTAATGTCTGATCGAATGACAGCGTAGAAGGCGGCAGGTCGGACTCGGCAGGCAACGGTGGGGCATCATCTAATAGCGAGAGGTGGAGCGGCGCGCCGAAAAAAAGTTGTCACGCAGCGAGCGGCGACCTTTTTTGACAACTTTTTTT